CACACCATCACCTTTCATCTGTCATGTCCTATCTCCCTCAGTTTGGCTGAAATGTGGATATAGTTTCCCCACAAGTTCCCAATTCCCTGGTGGAAATTGGCCAAAATGATGTTAGACAGATCTTATGAGGCTAAGCTGCAAATGCCCTGGGTCAACTCACATTTGACCTTTAATTCAATACTGTACACCGTAGCAAGACTGGAGACCTCACCAGAAATGCTTCCTGAGGCGACAAAACTGACTCCAGATCTCCGAATCGTCACCTCTCTAGGACTCTGCCCTCTGACAGGCAGCTCCAGCTGGCAGATGCAGGGAGGGCTGGAAGAATATGGCGAGAGGGCAGCAATCAGACCCAAGCACTGCCGTTTCATTTCCCTCTCAGTTCTTGGGCTTCTCATGCCTGCATCTGAATGGAGGCCACCAGCCATTGCCAGTGGAGGCTGAGCTGAGGCTTCTAGGAGGAGACCCAAGCACCCACCAGACAGCAGACAAGGCACAGGAATGAGGCAGGGGATCCCAGCCTGTTCTCAGCCTGGCAGGGCTCATCGAAGTCTTTATTGTTCTTTGTAAAGCAGCCTTTTCTCAGCCCTCCTCATGCTGGAGGTGTGGTCTCTCACTGCAGCCAGAGCTGCAAGCATAACCCAGCAAAAACACTGCTTGGAGCCAGGACCTCAGGAGGAAAGGTGAGAATCCAAAGGCTTTGATCTGGCTAAGCTCTTCACCTTGGTTTGGAAATAGGGAAAATTGTTTTGCCACTTTTGATAACTGTGAGAAGAAAGGAAATGTTCGTTTTACCTCCCGTTTGGTCTTGGTGACCTCTTTATTTCCTGAATCAAGTTCTCTTGAAGCCCAAGTACTTAAAACTTGAGTGCTTTTATTTTACAAGACCTAACGGTGTACTCCAACCACTTGAAAACATTCATCAAAGCCCAGAGCTAAGTTTCCACACTGTGGTGGGACATTGAAACCACTCCGAGAGACTTCCTTCAGCCACGATAGAGCTGAACCAGACCACAGCTGGGAAACAATGATCTCCAGACATTAAGCAACAGGCAGTGCAGTGCTATGACCCCTGAGAGAAGGGAAACAAAGAGGTGAGTCCTGCAATCGTCCCCACCTGGAGGCAGTGTCCAGGTCACAGCTTGGGAGAGAAAACTCAACCAAGCCTGGGAGCTCTGCTGAGTGGAGGAGGTAGAGACAGAAATCCGAGAGGCCAGTGTAGCTGGGATTTGGGAAGAGAACTGCAAGGAGAATTCCAGCAGCTCTTTGCCTGAATACGGATCTGCACCTGCTCCAGAAAAAAATGCCTGAAACCAAGAAAAGAACTTTCAGAAAATGGTAGGTCACACCATTCAGGACCTACTTGGAAGCAATTAAGGTTCCCGCCAGCCCAGATACAAACACCTTGTCACACATGAGACATCAGGTAAGGTCAAAGAAGGGTCATGTTGTAACACTGGGACTAAGTTAGCCCAGATCAGGGTTTCTTGGCCTCAACACCATGGAAATTTTCAGCTAGATACTTCTTTGCTGTGGGGTAGAAGGTGGCACTGTCCTGTGCATTGTAGAATATTAGCAGGATCTCTGGCCTCTACCCATTAGACACCAGTAGCATTTTCCCTAAGGTTGTCACAACCACGTTGTCTCCAGACATTACCAAACATCCCCAGGGATATTTAGACAAGCCCATACAAATCTAAAAAGTAAGCCTCAAAAGGGTCAAGCTGTTTTCACATAACCTCAGTGGAATCAAACACCAAACAATGTAAAATTCACGATATCAAAAATTCCCTTTTAAAATTACCTAGTGTGCAAAGAAGCATGATCCATAATCAGTAGGAAAATCGATCACTAGAAACAATGCAGAAATAACAGATGCTGATAAAATGAGCAGACAAGGACCTCAAAACAGCCCAAGAAGGTGGAGGAAAGCACAAACATGAGGAGAAGGGAAATGGGGGGTGATGGGAGCCACCTGGTAAGCGTTCTTCCCTGTCATCGCCAATGCCTTCACGCTGCTCTGGGCCCACTGAGTCACAATGGCCATGGCTGCGTCACAGCCATATGCAGTTCTTTAAAAACGTCACTATGATTCTACCCAGCCAGAACTCAGCACTACTGGCTAAACCCAATTTTTAAAAGAATGAATAGAAAAGGGAGATGGAAATGATGAAGGAGGTTTTGAAAAATATTGGGAGAGCTGACCAATAAAAAGTGATTTCCCAATAAAAAGTCTTTCTCTGGCTCATCTAATGATTAAATGCACTAGAGACTGTCATCTATCAGAGGACAGATGGGTGAGCCTTGGCTGATGCATCTCAGCCTGCACCTACTATCACTAAGGTCTCCACAGTCAATTAGGAGATGCTCACTTACATTCACACCATAGGATATGAGCACATCACTGAATTCGATGAGGTTTCCCTTCCCAAGTTGGCAAAACCATTCACGCTTTGCTACATAAAGAGTCTCAGAAAGTGTCCATGCTTGCCGCACAGACAGAAGGCAGAGCTCCAATAATGGGCTCATCCCATCCCCCAGTTATGGCTGCACTGATGTCTGAAATTTATCAAAAACATAGCAGGGGGAGACATGCCCTTAACACACAGTATTTCTCAGAGTCTGGGGCATGTTCAGAGTGCACAAAAATCAAGGTTTTTAAAATATGAACCCGGGACTTTCAGCATGCCTCACCACTGCCTGCTTCCAATCCTGGTGACTTCCAGCACAGCGGGCTCTGTTCCTCGTCCCTATCAAAAGGAAGTCTATGGAAGGGTTTGCGCAGGGCTGGATCATCCTTGGGCTGGATGAGTTACAGCAGGTGAGAGGTGGCTTCTCCAATCATTAAGAAAGCTCAGGACTAAGCCCACGGTTTTGGAAAAATTTGAGTCTGTAGGTTTTACACAAAAACAAGCAGATTTGCAGGACCTCATGGGAAGAACTTGGAATCCATAAGGTTTTTACAGAAATGAAATCTCCAAAACTCACTTTTGCCAGATAACCAGCCAGTTTCTTTAATCTGGCACCTTTGTTCATTGAGAGTTCATCCCAGAGACCTCGCTCATTTGTCAGCACATGGAGTACTTTCTGGTCAAAGCCCAGAGCAGGTTAACCGATGGCTGTGGAGCTGATAGAAGAGAAGCAGTCACTGGGCCAAGTCCAAAGGCAGAACCCAGAGGCTGCTAACTGGGGTCTCTCATCAGTTCATCTTGGGAAATTGAGCAAGTAAGTTTCCTTCTTCCTAAATTTCGTAATCTAAATAATGCTGAGATGTCCTATAGGAATCACATGAAGAATAGTTGAATGGAGGTGGAGTATTTTAAAATCCGAAATGTTTGCTACCAAAAGCCAAGAGCAGAGCTTGAAATTCAGAGGGACAGGGGGTGCAAATCACATCTGATGGTTTTGAAACTTGGCCTGCCCTTGAGCCGAGGAGGCACGCCCTCCCTGGACAACTTGTGGACTGATGGGCAGGTGAGGCCCGTCCAGCCCGTCAGATTGTTGTGGGTGGGAGCTCAGATCTAGCATTCATTTCAACACTGGTGGCTCAGCTGCTGGCTGTCAACAGTAGCAGGGTATTGGGCCCTGAAAAACATGTAGCTGTGGCTGCCACCGAGTTGAAGTGTTTTACAACCTCCTAAAAAGATGTACTTTTCCGACATTGTTTTATTCAGCGTGGCTATAGGAATGAGTGAAGTTTTACATAGGAAGAAAACGAGAATGCAAGATCTGCTGTTTGCTACATAGGGTTTCAAATGAAGCCATGAACACTTCTGTGAAATGCATGATCATGTAATTCAACAAGTTTTTCTCTCTCTGGAGGCCTGGGAAGCAACCTCAATGATAATTATACAATGATAAAATTCTGTCCCCATCTGATTAATTACTTGTGAATAATGACATCTCTGATTTTTTTCAATTATATTCTAATTGCACACCTTTTGCTCTGGTTGATTGGGCAACGAAGCAATGAACAACTTTTACTGAATTTAATTAGCTCCATTATTTCTGTGGCCTTTTATGCCTCCGTTGTGAACACGGAAATTCACACTCCCAGGGCTGGAACTGGAAGAAGCCAGCCTTGAACCTTGCAAAACCTGTTCCTTCCACATTGTGCTGGCTTCCTTCTGCCCAGACTAGGGAACAAAAGACCTGGCATATTTGCCAGCATTCATGGGAAGACATTCCTAATAACAGCATCAATATTCAGAAAGGTTATCTTTTCATAAGGCATTAGCGATTTGCATGTTACATCTATCAAAAGAGCTGGGTAAATGAGCTATATGGGAGTCAATTACAATGTCATTCATAATTTATTCCATGTACAATAAAGAGCCGATCAGATTTCATGCGTGTTTACTTTCTGAAAAGATAACCGCTTGCGGCTGATGCGAGTTGCGGAATACAAATACGTTCCAGAGTAATGTGTTTATCTCACATTGACATTTTAAATCTCCAAAGTTTCCCTTCTTTCTTTACAAAGTTGTCTCTGCTTGAAAATTACAGCTGGCTCTCAAAAATAAAAGACCATTCTTACTGGCTTAAGTTGAATCATTCTATTTTAACTCCATGAAGGCATGTCATACATATTCTCCTGCAAAACACATCAGGAAACAAATAGGAATTTGCTTTTAAAGGCAGGTGATTGCAAACATACAGAGCTAAGAATATTTAACTCACAGAAACGTGCTGTAGTTTCTAAACATGGATACAAATTGCCCAACGCAGCAGTCTTTGGAGCACCATTAAATGTTTGTAAATGCAGACATGTGTCATTGTAAATTACCTTCAACCAATATGCTTTCCCCGTACCCCATATTTTAAACACTAAAACAAATTCAGAAATGAAGAAGGCTTTTCCAAATCCCTTAAGAAAGTCTATAGACACGTATGATTAATTTATTAGACCAGATAAAACACCTCAACTGTCTGATGAGCAACAGCTCCATCTCTCTCTGAGTCAAGTTTGTACCCACCCACCTACCCAGGCTCAGCCATACCTCATATCTGCTGGCTGTCTGCTCAGCCGTCTTCAAGCCTTGACACATATGGATGATAGAAACTTTGGCTCTTCTCTGGGAGGGAAACCAGTTACTCTTCACAAAATCCATGACCATCACATGGTTTTTCAGCTCTGTACTGAATGTTTTTATCTGGAAAGTCCGACGCACGGCCGTTCCTGCGTAGCGGGCAGCGTACCCCTGCTGATGAGTGTTTGTAGGAATTCCAGAGTGCCGCATGATACTCGGAATCTGGTGACTTTAGCTAGCGAGACTGGCAAACACAATTTTCTTTGTTTATCCCAGGTATTGAGTGTGACAGGAGGGACTCGGGAAGCGCCCCAGCTCGGACCTGTCCCAGTGTTTTCCAGCTCCAGAACTAGTTGTCTCAATATCCCAGCTACATTTGTAAAGGATGTGGATGTGGGAACCTCAAGGGTAACCTTTACGTGCCATAAAAAAAACAAACAAAAAACCTTCTTGTTGTGGTCTGTTTCCAGCCTCACGCCTGAGCTCTCGGATCACTGAAAGTCTTCTCTGATTTCAAAGAAGCATTTCTCTTTCCACTGCATTGAAGTTTTGAACACAGAATTCGCCAGGTTACTGAGAGATTCAATATGTTTGTCAGTCTCTATCCCCTCAAATCCAAATAAACTATTTACAGGGCTCTATACAAAGGAACCAGGAGAAATAATCATTGCTTTTTAGAATTCCTGCTTTTACTGGCCAGGACTGAAAGGAACAAGTTCAGGCTGCCTACCAATACAAAGAGCGTCCTCAGCCCTGGAGAAGAGACACATTCAAGTGAAAAAGAGAACTCCCAGCGCAGAAGCAGCAATGGCAGCAAGAGGGCATCAGAAAAACAGCATGTCACGTGGGGGCTGGGAGGTGGAGTCCACTCGCCTAGAAGGGGGCTCTGGTCCTGAGTCAATCATAGGACGTTCCTCCACCACCCTGAGCCTCAGTTTACCAGGAGGAAAACTGGGGTGAAAATATCCCATCTGCCACTCACGGGGTTATTGTAAGGATCCAGTGAGTAGAACAGTGAGAAAACAGCAGCAAGGAATAGAGTCACGTGAAGCATCATTTTGAAAGTACAGTTGCATGTTCTCAGCCCAAATTATTTTACAGTGTTCTCTACACATACGATAACAGAGATTAAGACAATGATCGGATTCTGAATTTCAGATCATTTAGAATGCAGACCCATGGTATATGCCTCATTTTACTTCATGTTTTGATGCCATTTCTATTAACCTGGTAATTTAGAAGTGAAAATGGCAAGCCTTGGATCAAGGGTGTGTGCCAGGTGAAAGCAGATGACAGCATCATGGCTGTGTTCCAAGTCCAGACACAGAACGCTTCTCTACAGGTGACTTTCTCGTGGCACAGACACCCGCTGGAATAATTAACTCACCTGCCCCATGCTGAAAGCCATGGGAGGAGCTAAAGGAAGAAGGGCCTCCAGATAACTTTTCTGAAAACAGAGCTGCAGTCCCAGCCCAGAATCAGGAGCCTTCCTGCTGCAGGTCAAAGGTCTGCAAGTCACACTCAGCAAGGCTAGGACTTAGGAGCTAAAATGCTGAACTTCCACCTTCGGAGGCAATGGAAGTATTAAAGATGGGAATTAAAATGAAGGAGGAGATAGAAAAGATTTCAGAGACTCTCATTTGAATGTTGAAGTAGAAGACCTACAGAGACTAAGGCTCAAGATCACACAGCGAAGTAGAGTTCATGGTTCCTTAAACAGAACACAGCCCAGGTCTGCCTGGGGATCTCCCAAGGATGTCGATGAGAATGTCAAGACCCAGCTGATGGCATCCATGGCTGACTCAAACCTGAGAGTCAGGCTGGAAACCACCCAGGGAGCTACACCATGGAGCGCCATCTTGGATTTGGAAGTACTGTGATAAAGAAAGCCAAGGAAGAAATTTGAGCAATAAAAACATTAAAATTAAACAGGGATATCAAGGGAAGAGGTGATCTCCTTGCATATTTGAGCGCTATGAAGGTCAGTCCTGTGCCCCCAAAGATGCCATTTAAACCAGCTCCCACTGGTGCCTATCCGCTCCTGTCCAGCAGATCCTGCAAGGCAGGTAACAAAAATAAAGTCTTTTCCTCCACCGCTACTTACACTGAAAGGCCTTGGACAATGTTAGGACTAGCCATCAGCTCTCTGAGACCAGCATGGAGAGGTTTGCTGAGGGTTGGCTGTCTGCTAGTGAGAGCACTTGTCACCGGCAGAGCCAGATCATTCGGGCTATGGGTGATTTTTCTCTCTCCCTTGACCACAGCTGGTGGCTGGATTTTAGCTGGCCAGTATAGCCAACAAGAGGAAGCAGTAATGTGGTCTTAGGCAGGCCTCCAGAATTTGTGGCCAATAAGGCTGGACAGAAGCCTTGCGATTGTCAAATCCAATTCCTCATGCTATGGAGGAGAAAATGGAGGCCCAGAGGCAGAGAACCTTGGCTGAGAGGTAGAGGGCTGGAACGAGCCAGGATGGACAACTGGAGATGAGTTTGCACCTGTGCCCCAAGACAAACTAGCAGGTGATCGTGGACAAGCCGTCTCCCTTCTAGTTTAAGTTCCCTTTAACCACTAGCTTCTTTGCCACCCCTGGGTTCTAGAGCATGTCCTGACCATGAGCAGACATAGCTCAGCAGAGAGCAGCTCCACCCTCCCTGGGACAGGTCTTCCTGTCTGGGTCACTGAGGGATGGCTGCATGCAGAAGAATGAGCTCATGTCCTTCCATTTGCCCTTGGATCTGTTGCTCCTCATGTCCAGCAGGGCCACAACCTCCACAGTCTAGCCGCTGTGCCCTCCTGAAGCACAGCCTCCAAGAAAGAGGACGCCATTCCTGCTGTTCAGAGTGCTTGCCTTGCAACCTTGGGCTAACTGTATACTACCCTGGCCTCAGTTTCTTCATCCATTTAAAAAAGAACAATAACGCCTTCTTTGATGGGCTGCTGTGGAGACTGAAGCAGCTGGCACTAGTAGAGGGCTTGGGACAGAGCCTGGCATCAGGCACCTGCTCGACAGACACCAGCTGTCATCACTCCCAAAGGGCAAAGACTCTAAACTGCCAGACACATCATTTTAATATTAAAGAAGGAAGATCGTTAAGGAGAAGCTGGAACTGCCCTGGTCGTCTGGAGACCCTATCTCCAAGACTCCCTCTACCATGTAATGCTACCCAGAACTGGGGCAGGTGGCCAGCCTTGGTCTCCTCAAATGGGAAATGGAGCTTGCATCCCCGAAGAAGATGGCTGTGAGCATTGCTTTAGGTCATTGGTGTATGTGAAACTGTTTTATAAACTATATGTTTTTAAAACTATACAAATATAGATTTTTAATGCTAGATGCCAGCAAAAACAAGTGCCAGACACAAGCACACTCTGAGCTAGTTCTGTCCCAAAGGACGGAAAATCAGTCACATTTATGGTCACAAAAGAATGGTGGCATCAGGCACCACCATGCCATTAACGCATGTTGCCAAGGACACTGGATGCCTTTTGGTTTGCCAAGAGCTCTGCTCTTCTGGGAACTCTTCCCCTGCCTCTACCCAAAACTGCCCATATGGTGCCCATGGAAGCTGGCATTTCCTACAAGAACACCATGCCTTTGACCTCACTGACTGGCCCAGGGGTGGGCACCTGGCCCAAATAGGGCCAGTCAGAGCCATTTGTTATGATCTAAATTTTGAGTATCCTCAAGTCCATATGAAGAAGCTCTAACTCCTGATGTGATGATGGGGCCTTTGGAAAATAATTAGGGTTAAATTAGGTCATGAGGGTACACGCTTATGATAACACTAGTGGCATTATGAGAAGAGGAACAGAGATCTCTTTCTCTTCCCCACCCCATCCTCATGAGCAGAGGGGAGGCCACATAGGGCCACAGTGAGAATGTGGCTGATTGCAAGCCAGAAGGAGAGGTCTCATGGGGACCTACCCCTGCTGACACCCTGATCTCAGATTTCTAGCTTGCAAAACTGTGAGATAATACATGTCCACATCCACTGTCTAAGCCCATTCTATGGTATTTGGTCGTGGCAGCCTGAGCTAAGACTCCTGGAGAAGCTCTTGCCCACAGGAGGCCAATCAGAGTCTATTCTGGAGAACCCTGATCTTGGAACTGAGCAAGAGAGGGTGGCTGAGGCCGTGGGCTGGAACACTGCAAGCACTTCTGACAAGCTGCTGTCACAGAGAGAGGCGGAGGCCAGAAATGGGGGCATCTGGATAGTTCTGGAATCCTGAGTTCTACCCAGCCCGCATTCTGCATGTGGATTCAACGAGACTATAGTATCTTTACGATACTCTCCCTTTTAGGCTTAAGCTGTTTGACTTAGGTTCCTGTTACTTGCAACCAACAGAGTGTGTGTTAATCTTTGAAACGGAGATGAAAGGGAGTTCACTGTTCAGCAATGGGACAGATGCCTTGACAGGCAGTTACTCAAAGCACAGTGAATGCCTCCTATGAGAGCATCTGCACCAGCGTGGTGGGGACACTACGAAACCTTCATGGGAGAACGGGTATGGCATCAAGTCTTAAATGCTGGCTGCTTTACTACCGAACCCCCATGGTTAGCACTGCATGGAAAAAAGTCAGCTGTAGGACATCACTTTCTACTTTCTATTTATCCATTTTGTCATAAAGCATTCACAACTGAGAATGGAAAGCACTAACTGAAGCCATATTTACTGCAAGTAATCATCACTGTTGATGGAAAATTACTTCCTGAATAGTTTGCAGTTTTTTTTTTTCTTAAAGCAAATAACTCAGTTGACTACTATAAAAGTTAGATCTCTGACCTTATTAATGCCCTGCAGAAGATCCCATTTAATTTCCCTAAGTTGGTCCCTGGGGTGACTAACTGAAAGTGTAACATTGCTAGCAATTGCAATCCAATGATACCAAATCAACATAAATGAGCCTTGAATGTGTTTAGTGTTGAAATATATGAGAAATTAATCTCTTACCTCTCCCTTGCCCCTGATACAATATGCAGGACTGTATGTAATATGCATTGAAGTATTTAAATAATGAATTATTCAAAAAGAAAAGAAACTGCAGGTACCTGATGCCAAAAATCACGCCTGTGAATTCTTAATCTGTTCTCCAATGGGATTAGCATTTAGGACTATGAAAGATATCCTAATTATGCAGAATTTCAGAGCTGATTTTCTGCAGGGCCTGTGCAGATCTAAAAAGCATTAGGCAACAATAAAAACAGATGACTATGAATTTCTGAATTCATAATTTAGTTTCCCTTACGGGAGAAATGACATTTTTATTTATGGGCCCTTCACTCATCAGGTGGGTGCTGAAGTTTTTCTCCTTTCTCCAAGGCAAAATGCTCACTGCAAGCGCATCTAAACAATCAGCCTTTTAAAACAGATGTGTGAAATTTACAGGGCTGTCTAACGTAGGACTGATGCAATATATTTTTCCTCTTGTTAGTCACCACCCGTCAGGGTGCTAGAAGAAAACAAAGGGACTGAGAATAATACGGCCGACTAAGGGATCCTGGACCTTTTGATCAAATTAGGAAGAGAATGAAAGTTTGCTTGATGAATTCCACTCCCTTGTTAAATTTTTCGGCTATATTTTGATATGATGGAAGAGGAGTAGTCCTTTCAGTGCTCTGTAAATAGTTGTTCAACGGGAGAGTGAAAATAAAAGGTGTCAATTATCCTATACGCATTTGTTTTTCTTTCCTGTAAATGGAAAACTTTCTTCTTCTTTATACAATGTTTGGGCAGTGTGAGAATTTGATATTCCCTCCCAACTTTCCAAGGGGAAGTGGCAAAACACAGGAGAAAACTGGAACAGAAGCACAACCAATGTTGTCACATTTA